AAAAAAAAAAAAATGCTTAAAAATTTTCCACACTTCTATCTTTTCGGTAACTACAAAAACTCTTAGTGAGTAAACAACCGTTTTTGAATCAATCAACTACTTGTAAATACATCAAATTAATATGACTGATTTATACTTATTTCTAATTCACAAGTGATGATTTCAAATCATTTATTTCTAGTCGACATGCAAGTTTTGAGCCATCATTAACAATTTTCCATTTTTTTTTTTCGAACGAAATGGCGGCGAGCATTAGTCAGCCCTTAGGCAGGCGCATACGCTTATCTAATCTGGCCTTATTAGTGTAGAAAATGCATCGCGGAACATAGGTATGTATTTTTGTGTATAGGTAACTAAGCCGAAACCATATTTAAGCTGAGGCTACTCGTATAAATAAGTCTCAAGCGCTTTTTGTCTACTTTGTAGCTTTGTGGTTATACTAAATACGATAACAATAAATTTAATATTTAATTAAATATGTCTTCCTAAGTAAAACTCCACTCCACTATCTACTCTACTTGAGACCTATGTACGTACTAAACAACCATAAATTACATAAGTTTTGAATTGCAATTGGTTTCGACTCCTTTTTGTTGGGGCTGAGTTCGACTGACAACCGGCTGTACAACTCCGCTTGGTATTGATGGTTGTGGGGGTGGGGGTGGAGGTCGCGCACAGCACAACGCTGCACACACGCGCTGACCGCAACGACGCACCTGTCAATGTTGAGACCGGTTGGGTGGTTAGGGGCACAATACCAACAACAACAACAACGATAACAAGGACAAAAAACAGTAGCTGGATTATGTAGGGGTAGTGTAGCTGTGCGATTGAGTGCAAGCAATTGCTGGATCGAAAGCGATCCGTGCAAAAAACCTGTCAGCTGTGCCGGTGGGTGGTGTTTACCATTACAAAAGCGTATTCTATGCCTTACCCTTAGTTTAAAATTGTATAGATTTTACTTAGTTTTAGATGAAAGTTTCGAAAAAAATAAGTAACTAAGAGAAAAACAACCTCAGGATAAGCTCACAGTTGCCAAAAGTCTAATTAATACACGCATATAAATGATCAGTCTGTACGCCTATGTATGTATGTATGTATGTCGTTAGTCTGTCGCAATTCGCCCTCATTGGCTGTGTTTCTACTCAACGTTAATAAACTCAGTTGCTTAAAACTTGGTATTCAATTTGGCACGCAAAGTCTTCGTCGTCTCCGTTACCCTCCGTTACGTCCATATCGTCGTCATCGTCGCAAACATATGCTTCCTCCAGCCAAAAGTCAAATCACAGATCCAGCGAGTCCGGTGGGGTTGGCTTTGTTGGCAATACGCCAAAGGGGTCGTCCACGACCACGCTCACATCGATCTCATCGTCTTCGTCCACTTCGTGCTCGTCGCCCATGAAAATGCATTCCTCCACATCTGTATCGTAGGATGGATCAATATTCACATCCTGCAGGTTCATGTCCAATTCTATCAAATCCCACGAGCCACCAAAGGCGGCCAGTGGTATGTCCTTGGCGGAGAGAGAGTTCGTCCGTTTTTTCTCCTTCTCCAATTTTCCGTTGATGTTGACGTTTACGGATTGATTCAATTTGACATCTGAGTTGGCGTTAGTGCCTGCTTTGCTGGGTTTGTCGTGATCCTGTGTTTTAATATTCTGCGAGGGCACGAAATCGTTGGAGAATGCATCAGAGTTACACGGCTGCGAGGAGGGCGAAATGTTCGGTGTGGGCGTGTCGGGTGTCGTCAGTGAATGGTTGTGGGAGTCGGTCGGCTGTACTACATCGCTCTCATCGATGAAGGAGCGACCCACAGAGCTAAGTGAGAACTCAAGTAATTTGGGTGGTCGGCTGGCGGTGGTGGCCGTCGCGGCGCTGCGCACACTACGCGCTGGCGTCGCTTGCAGCGTACTGTCACTCCGACGACTTGAGCGTCCGCTGGTTTTCGCCGTTGTGGTGACGCAGTAACGCCCCTGGCCGTCGATCAAAAGCAGCCGCTCACCGCCGTCGGCGCAACGTTGTTGCAGGAAAAATGTGTCGATGTCATGTTTGGCATCTGCACCGCTGGCTTCGCACGCCACTTCTGGAATGGCGGTGAGGCATTTGCAGGAGGGCAAATGTTCGCCCGAACAGATCGTCTGCGTGTTAAGACTGCTGCCGCTGAGGCTGAGCCAAGTACTGGAGTTGTTCGCACTTGAGTTATAGGCGCGTGCAGAGGCCAGAGGGCGTGCGTCCAGCTGCTGGGCGATCAAGTGGCGGCGCGTGAGTGTTAGTGAGCGCAAGGAAGGGGCGCTGTCTGTGAGACCACCAATGCCGGCGATGCCACCACCGCCGCCACTACCACTCCCAAGGCAACCTGTAAGTGTGTGGCGCGCCGGCGATGCTGTTTGAGAAGAGCAGGAAGCGGTGTGCGTGGTTTGGGTCATGCGTGTGCTGCAGCGCGAGGCGACCAGTGTACTTGCGAGACGCTGTAGGTTCTCAAAGGAATCGCCAGTGGCCAGTTGACCATCATGGCGGAATAAACGCACCTGTTGCTGGCTGTTCTTCGCGTTGATGCTGTCCATGGATAAGTGTTTCACCGAGCCTATGGATGCGGACGCGATGCCAATATCACTAAGGGGCACCAAAGTGTTGAGCACATCGGGAGAATCTAGTGGACTGGAGAGTGGCGTTGAGCCAAGCGCGGCATTCACCAGGAAACTGCGCATAGAAATTTAGTAAGGTTAAACCGGAATTTAAAAAAAAAAATTAACTTACATTTGACGTTGCAAAAGATTCTGCCAGACAGCTTTTAGTTCTAAAGAGGGCGCGCGGAGCAAGAGGCTCTTGCGACGAGCACTCTTCTTTGGTGTGCGGGTCAAATCTGGTGCACAATAGCCCGTTGGACTTTCGGCTAAGCGTCCGTTGGGATCCACTGTAAGTCGAAACTCTGTGGCTGCAATGTAAGAAGAAATCGCGGTCACAAGTCAGCTACGCCGTACGGCAAGTGCAACAACTTACTTTTCTTGCGCATGTGAAAGCATGAATCTACAATATTGGCGATTGGAATGGGCTCCTCGGTTATGAACAGCACGCGATCTCGGCTGACCTTTGCAAATACGATGATGTCACTAAAGAGCAAGGTCCAGTAAGGTTTCACGGAGCGGCCTTCCACGCGTGACAGGTCGCCGCCAAAAATCCACTGGCGTCCCTGAACGGCTAGCGTGAATGGCTTGCACTTCGTGAAGACCATGCGGGACTCGAGATCTTGCAACGTGAGCAAAGGTCGACCCTCGCCCAGCGGCTCCATCAAGCCACTGCTAACGGTTATCTCACGATAAGCGGCCTGTAGTTCCGAAATAACAGTGGTAAAGTTCTTGTGCTCCTCCGTGTCGACGTGACAGTTAGAAGCGAGTAGCTGCATTAGTTTCAATATTTCGCGGAAATGCTGTAAAGGCCTGTGAATGAACATGGTGAGATCGGGGCGCTTGCGTGGCACTTGCGGTTCGGTTATGAAGGCAACAAACTCAGAGCCCATCTGCCGAGACTTATTGACCTAATGGAAGAGAACAAAGAAAGTGCTAATTGGTGTACAATACGGTTCATTAAATATGGAGACGCTTACCAGCACACAATCGGCTCGCTTAATGCCATTGCAATACTTCTTGTAGGCCGCGCAGATTGCTGTGGTTTTCGAGAGATAGACGCGTGAGGCGAAGTTCATCTGTGGCTCCTGGTCATCGTTGCACAGCTGCTCTAAAATATCCTCGGAGATGCGCACCAGCTCATCGATATTCTGGAAGAGTGTGCGATGATCGCTTGGCGAGATGAGATCTTTTCGCTCCTGCAACGGCTGCACGAATCGCTGCATGCCGAAATGCAGCGCCGCGATGAAATTCTGTTCGCGGCTAATCAGCTGTAGCAGCAAGCGACGACGATTGTCGGTGATGGGCCCGATGGACTGGGGAAAAGAGCAACATTTTAATGAAAGGCTAAAAATGCATTTCATCATCTGAAATTCAAAAAGCCGTAACTAATAAAAAATCCATCGCTTTATCTAAAAAAAAAAAATGGTTTGTTAGTTACGGCCTTTCGCATTTCAGGTGACAATTTGCAGAACAAATGGCGGCTGTGACTCGTCAAAATTTATCCAAATAATAAGACAATTAAAATTTCAAAATTAAATACGAAGAAGCGTTTATTGTCGACATAGCAGCATTTTCCAAATACGTTTATATGTACATACGTTATTTGAAAAGCAACTTAAAATAAATATCTAAAAGAAAGGGCACAAACTTAAACGAAAATGTGAAATATTCAAGAAAAGTGTAACAATTTATAAAATAATTAAATAAAGTGGTTCCATAATGATTTCCAGCTGAGAAGTAATAAAATAGAATAAAATTGAATTTTTAATGAAATATTTAAACATTAATTTACATATGTAGCTAAAATAATCGGCAACATTTCTCAAAATTCATTTTTAATATTTGGGATGTTAGGGATAGTAATAATCACTTAAAAAGTTAACTAAGATAATGACAAATATTCGGTAGTAAAAATATTATGCGAAAATACTTTATTTTAACTCGTAGCGCAAAATCAGAAATATATATTTAAAGAAATATAAGCCAATCGATTGTAGATGGCACTGTTCGATATCAAATCGGTAGGCTTTAATATAAAAATTCACTTGGTTTTGTTTGTCTCGGCCTGCTAAGTAAGAACTTTGCAAAGCAACTTAGATTTCAGAGGATTAGCTCTACATAAAGGCTGACTTTTTCACTCAGCTTTGGCGTCAGCCGAGGCAACTTTGTGCTTTTAGAATTAAATGTCGCATATAAAAATGTATAAACCTACATATGTATATACACGAAATAAAATATACAAACGGTTCAAAGGATTGGAAATAAGAACCAAATCATAAACAAATGTCACTTAAATTAGCTTAACTGAAATAAGTAAACTAAAGGTAGAAACGATAAACTCAAATCTAAATTTAACCAAATAAATTCGTTCACTTCGCTTCGGCAGCTGTTATTTCTCTTTGGCTGTCGGAAAATTTCCCACTCTCCCACTCTCTCTCAGACTATAACGCCTTTGCCTACCTCCTTACTGAAGGTGACCTGCGGCAGGTGCAGTCGCCTCTTCGCCGCCTCAATGGACGAGGTGGTGCCGACTGAACAGGCTGTGGACGGACGAACATTCATTGTGGAGGCCCCTGCTGACGGCCCCACAGCCACCGTTGGTGCTGCGCTTGCCACGCCAACGCGTCGCACTGATGGCGCTGTACCACCCGCTATTGACTGTTGTTCATCGCTTATGCCACTGGCTAGGCGTGTAGTTGATGTAGTTTTGCCATTCATGACCGGCGCCGCTGGATGCCCACGACTGCCAACACTGAGCGCTGGCGGCATAGAACCGAGTCCAACACCACCACCAGTGGGTCCCGATCTTCTGAACACCTCCAGCGTTAAGGTGGAGCCCTGTGAGCGTATTAAATTTAACACATCCGCTTCGGGCATCGTCACCACATTCTGCTTGTCTACGAAAATCACATAGTCGCCGGGCTGTATGCCGGCACGGTCGGCCGACAGTCCGGGCTCAATCTTCTCGACGCGCGGTGGATGTGTCCACACAATGGAGAAGCCAAAGCCTCGTTCGGCAGTGCGTGTCAGCTTCTTGGTCATGGTGAAAGGTGTGCGACCGACTGGCTTGCTGGCAGCAGATAGACGCCGTGCACCTGAGGCGTTTGGTGTGGCATTGGCGGCGTTTGCGGGCGCTGTCGTCTCAGTGGGCGGATCCAATTCGAGGAAACGCAAAAATAAATTCTCATCGGCGTCGCGCTGATGCAAAGCCTTCCGGCTCAGTGTCATCGGATGTTCGATGTTGCCGCCGCCAGTCGCCTGAGCCATGCTGTCGATGCTTACGACGTCCTCCTCGCTTTTCTGGCGCGTCAGTGTTGAGGTCATTGTAGATGTGGCGGTGACGACACGCGTCTGTGGCACAAATGGTTGGGGTTGGACTTGGGGTTTTGGTGGCGGCTGCGATTGTGACTGTGGCTGCGGCTGGGCGTGAGTGTGATTGGGATTGAGTGGCGCTGGGCACGAGATTGGTTGCGTGTGGCCTTGAGTGTGCGGCGCGTGTGTAGCAACGGCCGGATACTGCAACGACACTGGCGGCTGTGGATTATTTAGACATGCCTGCGATTGTAGTTTGTAGAAGCCGTTAACGGGTTGCTGCAGCAACGTCTGTAGAGGAAAGGACATGCATCCTAGAAACTCGCTCCGTCTGCAAAGAAGATGATGAAGGCAAACATTAGTATAAAAATTCATTGAAATTATGAAATACTTTTAAGATTCAAGTGCAGATTTTAAATATTCCGCATATTATAAGTCTGCTATATCTTATCATAATTTTTAGGCTGTACATTGCAATATAATTTTATTTATTTATTTTTCCAGGATAATCACAGTAAATATGGCTTAACAGTTTCGCTGCTGGCAGATGAACAAACAGATTGGCAGCTGAGCTCGTCCGCTTCATACACCAAAATTTGTAATGCGAGACTTTATCTGAGCACCTAATCAGTGCCAAGTGAAAAGACTATAAAATCAAGTCAATCCCTTCATCCGATAATCTTCGCCAACACCCACAAGCATACGAATGACAAAAACACAAAAAGCAAAAAGCAAAAAGCAGAAGAAAAAGGCTAGAACAATGCAAAGCTGAAAACCAAGAAGTAAATTGTTGAGCGTTGAGTAAGAGTAGACGAAAATTGCTGCCAACAAAACCATCAACGACGTCAACGTTGACTGTGCATTCCGCACATACGCACACACATATATATATACACAGGAAAAAGAAACAACAACGCCTTGCGGAAGCAACAAATAACTGCAATCTTTACAAGTGGTTGGCAGGGTGGCAAGGGTGCTATACTATGCGGCAACATTTGCGTCAGAAATTGCCTGTTGAGTGAATTTAAAACCGGTTGACAGCTCAACGTCCTCCCATCAGCATCCCAGCCGCCGTCTGCAGCGGCAACAACAGCGTCGAGTGAAAAGTGTTAAAGTGAATTGTAAAAAAAAATTGTAGAAATATACGCTGTAGCGGTAATGCGAGGAAGCGGCGAGCAATAGGAGACAAGCAGCCGCCGAATAGAACCAGTGACAGCACAAGTAAGTACCGAAAGTTTTAATTTTATTTATTTTTATTTGCCTTTATTTACGTACTTAACATCTTTGTATGGCTGACATTCTGCATTCTAATTTATGCCAAACCTTTCACTGAACTTCTTTTCTGCTGTAAGCCGAAACATTAAAGTGTTTTTTTTTCTATACCCTCTTCTCATAGTAAATGGGTGGGAATGAAATTACGTAAAGTATATAACTTTTTTTGCCGGCTGCTTTTGGCTTCGCAAATTCTACAATGAGCGTTGATAATCCCATTGAAGCGTGCCGCACTTGCAACAATTGCAACAGCAACAGCAGCACTGATGTTGTCATTTAATTACTACGATTTGCGTTATGTTCTTCTCTAACACTGCTTCCTCCTTTGCTTCCGGCGCCACTTGCAACACTTTGATAATCCCAAAGTTGCATTCATTTTTCATGCCACTCTCCACGCCTCTCCTGCTGAATTCAGGCCAAAGTGCTTAGCAGTCATTTTTAATGCGATAAAATCACGCGACATTGCGGCGAATTTCGACACAGTTCGCTGTCGCTGTCGCTTCGGCTGTGGCTGTGGCTGTGGTTGCAGCCAAGTTGTTGTTGCGAAAATTTAAATGTGTATTAAATTAAAATGCTATTTCCTCTAATTTGCATATTGGAAGTAGTTGAAGATGTATTAAAATTTGTGGAGAATTTGGAGCTTAGCGATTTTGGTTGTTGGAGCAGCAGCTATGCGTGGCGTATACGTAACCTCGTGAAAAATGCGAGTGGTGATAAATTTTTTGTGATTTAAATGGAAATTGAAATGGGATAAAATTATAATTTTTATCATCTTAGATACAAATCTCGTAGCGGTATTTTTTTTAAGTATCGGAGCTGTGCGCTTCATAATTCACTTATGGGCAATTTATGGATTTAGAAAATAGTCGAGATACTTATTAAAAAATGCTCGTCATTTTGTCTGCTAATTTTGAGAAATCCTAGTGCTATTTACTTCCAGGTTACTTCCATTTGCCTTTTTAATAATTAGAAAAAAGACTACATGGCAGCTTAAAATGCTGGGGATATTAGAGTTTTTAGTGCAGTTTTTGTTTCAAGATTTTACATCGTTGTCGCCGCTAGTCCTTGGATGGGCGGGCGCCTGTGTACACTGAACTTAACAATCATCAACAATCACCAACACTTCAGCGCACGTACCGGAACGAGTAATCGAATACCGGCAAGCTCATACACTTTAAAGCTCATAAAACAATAAATTATTCGCGCATGCGTGCTTATACTGCATACACTATTCGAGTGCAAACGTGTGTGTGTGTGTGTGTGTGTGTGTGTGTGTGTGAGGCTGTCCACTGTCCAATAAAGTAAAATATGTGTTTATGGTCAAACTGAAAACGAAAATTGCAACAATTTCCTCTTGAACGTATCACTTTATGATGACACCATAAAACTATGTATGTATGTATGTCCAAATAAAAGCGAATGAAAAATTTAGTATAAAATTGTACAGCAGCAAAACAGCGCTCGTAGATGTCGTGTATGTGCATTTGTAAGTGTCCCTGTTTGCGGGCGGTTGGTCACGCGCGCCGGTCATCGATATTAATTTGCCAGCGTCTTAATTTCAACGCTTGGCGATTTTCTCGATTTCGTCGGTTCTACCTTCCTTCTTTTGCCCGCAATTTCTATTTCTTTTTACTTTCCAGGTTTCCCTAGCTCCCTAGGCTAGGATTTGAAGCAATCTATTTGTGTGCTTATTCGTGCGTTGTGTTCATTTCCTTGATGATTGATGGTGGCTTAGTGTCAGCGATTTAGCGCTTGCTTCTTCATCTCCGCCCGCGCCGTTTATTTCTTACATTTGACCATTTTCCAACTTGTTTTGTGAGTTTCTAATTTGAAGTTTCTTCTTTGGTTCGCCTTACTTTCTACTTTTCTGTCATAAAAATGTGAAATAGAATAGACAAAACCAGGAATGTGTCCAATAAATGGAATAACAGGCGTTCATTGGTGCATGCCAATTGAATGAGGACAATCGAATGGAGGAAATCAATCAATCAATTGCATGACGTGAATCACTTTGTATTGTGACTTTGGGGTATGCTGGCAGGCAAATTATTTTGTTGGGTGAGGGGAGGGGCAGTCCGATGGAATCACACGCAAAACCACAAAATCAATTTTATTAACAAATATGTATACATGTATTCAAATACATACTCGTATATATAATATCCAATACCTCACAATGAGTAGGTGAAATTTAACTTAACTTCCAATCTAGCTTTTTAAGTTTTTTCTACAAGAAACCTGCCTAGCGTAGTTCCGCGCGCTTTACCAATTTATACCAAGCTTTGTACTGTTGTTGACTCAGGTCCAGTAGAGAAAAAGGTTGAAAACTTTTGAAATCGGAAAATAGCCACGCCACATATCATTCTTTCGGTTTTTCAAATTTTCGTGGAATTTCGAAATTTTTTCAGTATGGATTTAATACTTTTTACTGGGATTTTGCAATTTTTTTGCACTTTTTGTAGCTAGTTTTCGCGGTCTTTCAAAATTGTTTCGGTGTTTCAAAAGTTTCGTGGCTTTTTAAAATTTTCTCAGTATGAACTTAATAGCTTTTTACTAGGATTTTGTGAGTTTTTTGGCACTTTTTGTAGCTAGTTTTCGCGATCTTTCAGGATTTTTCGGTTAGTTTCTTTCCTCGGTTTTGGGTTTTTTTCGAGACTGCATCTTTTTCGGTATTTTTTATATGGAATTTAATATCTCTTTGGATTTTTTTGCGCCTTTTTTGGAACTTTTAGTATTTTTTACCGAATTTACCAATTTTTTTTTCGGGATCTTTCAGGGAGTTTCGATACCTTTTGGCCCTTATTATGAGTTGCATAAGATTTTCGATCTTCGCTGGTTATCGAAGATCGAAAGTGAAATTCGTATTATGAGCTATGCAACCGTGTCGAAATTTTCGTTGAGTATCAAATTTTCTGCCGAACAAAATTTTGCTTTCGATGGTATAGCGAAGTGTAAGAAAATTGTGAAAAATGTATTATTTTGCATTTGTTTTATTACTTTTTGGCGGGTAGACACTAATTTTAAACAATTTTTATCAATTTCATGCAGTTTTACAAAACACAAGCTCGAAAGGCTGCTTTTACTTGTGAAAGAAAATCCCAATACTCAGTTGGCACGATCTCTATCATAGAGCTGTGGATAGTTTTAAAATATTTATTTTAAATAGATTTGGCTCACAAACGCCTTTTTAGACAGTCGGAAGTTTTTAGTAAATCTGTAGACAAATTTCTTAAATATATTTTATGTCAAAATATATTGTAAAGACTACACTTCAACTCTCTTAAACATTTACTACTCCTGGCCAGTTCGCTAAACTCTCATCCTCTGACGAATCGTTGAACCCCAGAACTTCGTTGTACTAATTTTTACCATGTTTTTATAAACTTGCTTTCTTTTTTATTTCATTTTAATTGGCATAAATTTACATAAATATGTATAAGCACACTATTTAGTTTGCTCGATTTATAAACAATGCTTCTCGGCGGTGAAAAATATACTATTGTGAACAACATAAACGAGCGAAGTTCACAATAGCGCTATTCTACATCGAATGGGCGCCATAATACCAAATGAAAATTCGTTCGATCAGCACTTTCGACCACAGTCGAAGATCGAATGTAACTCATAATAAGGGCACTTTTTTATGTTTTATGCGGGAATATCCGAAAATTTTCTGGTTTACCAGGTTTTTCGAGACTTTCTCTGCATATTTTTTCTCAGTTTGAGAGTTTTTTTTTGTCACTTTTTGTATCTGTTTTTTTTTGTGATCTTTCAGCACTTCTCGGTAATTTTCTTTCCACTATTTTGGGTTTTTTTTAGGCTCTTGGCTTGTTTTTTGTGGAATTATGAGCATTTTTGGATTTTTTTCGGGACTTTTTTAAATTTTTTTCGGTGATTTTCGTAACGTTTTGTGTTTTATTCAAGATTTTTTGGGAGTTTTAACGAGGTGTGATAATTTTAGCATTGCTTTAGATATTCGACAGAACTTTTTAGATTCTTTTGATCTTTTTGGGACATTTAGACTTTTTTTCGGGATCTTTTGGGAATTTTTGTGT